ATGCATAAAACAAAGTTTTCTCTTTTATAGAACTTCATTCAAATTAAATACACTATATCAGAACATTTTGTTCAACAGCTTTTTCTACTTATTTATTCATGTCGTCCCCATGTAAAAATATTTATGATAATGAACGTGTAGAAACGCGTTTTGAAGAAATTATGACACGTTTTATCGACCAGGAATGCGTTTTAAAAAATAAAAAACGCGTTCGAATGCGTTTCTCAAATATCAGAACGCGTCCGAACGCGTTTCTGTTGATGAAGAATGCGTTTTGTACCGTGATAAATGCGTCAGTAAAGAACAATTTCCGAGTCAACAATAACGCGTTCTCATGAATCACGTTGGTATTCGTTCTTGAATAACTCGTTTCTATACTCAAAAAATCAACTTAGATAGGGAAGCATAAAAACATTTAAAAAAGAACGCGTTCTGAAAATTTGTGAACACGTTCTTTGGTATTATGGAAACGAACATAAAATTAAATGAGACTTATGTTTTATAATATGATGCAGTTGTTGAAACAAAAAGTGGTGTACATTGAAAACTTGCATGTCTCAGTATGAAAGATTTTTTAAAAACTTTTTCAGACAAAAAGGTTGAACTCATTATAGTGAGTTGATGACTTTTACGAAGTATTTTAGTTTTCCTCCTTTTTGTGAGAATGTATTTTTAATTATATATATTTCCTAACAGCACAGTCAAATTTTATTTTATGAAATAATGATTGCAAAACTTGAGATCATTCTTTTAATGAATGTTAAGTTATTTATTAACAAAAATGTAAAAATTGTTAGTAAAAAAAAACAACAATTATTTTAACTACTTTCAGTTAGATTTGGCAATCGAATAAATGTAATTTCATTAGAATTGCTACATGAAAAAACCTTTTCAACTATAGTTGAAGGACTAATCTGTTTTGAACAATTATTTAATTCACCAATTAAAACATTTTCACATTCGAATTTCATTGTTTCAACATAGATAAAATCATAATGCCAATTGATAAGATCAAAGACTTGAAAAAATACTGGATTTTCATCGGTTTCGTTTTTTATAAACTTGTCGATAAGTGCATATTGTAATCTGTTATTGTCAATATCACGATAAAGTATGGCACAATCCTTTTTATTAATATTATAAGAATCATATTTAACGTTATTATAGACACAGCGACTAAATGACTTCGTAAAATTAATTTTCGATCTATCGAAATCTGAATAGCTTTGTTCTTGTTCTACTTCAGCGATAATTTTGTTTAATCTGCATCGATTATCTTTATTCTTTTCCATATTATATTTAATACCTAAATTTTGAATCATCAGTTCATATAACAACGAACTCTCACTAATAGTTGCTAAATAGCACGATTCTTTCAACATTTGAAGATTGTTATATATTTCTTTTTCTTGATTTTTCGTTCCATTAACTGTTGATGTGATTCCACCTATAACATAGACAGAATAATCAGATCTTATTTTCAGAAATGATAATATACTTGTTACCTAATATGGATTCGTAGTTAAATGTGGAATATCCCTGTAGCGGGCCATAATCACGTACTGTTTCAGCTAAGTGAATTAATGAATGAATATTATTCACAATATGCCTCATACCATATAATGTTTTAAATTCGTGAACATAATGTTGCAGAAGTATATGCATCTCCTCTAATTTGCTTTTGGTTATTTGTTGATTTTCTCCAATATGCATAGCGAAGACCAATTGTTTAAAATGAGAATAGTAAATATCGGGTAAGATATTTTCGAATATCCTATAGTAAATTAATAGAATGGCACGATATTCGCTTGCTTTGTAGCGACTGTATAAACTAATATGTCTAGGAAGACGGATCGTTGATGATGGTGTTATATATTGTTGTATACGTTTATTAATTCTGTCAATATCTGATTGAATGGTCCATTGTTTTTCATTTGTACAAAATCTTCGTTCAAAGAAAATAGTCAGCAAACGTTTCTAAAAACAGAAAACAATTATTTGACAAAAAAGAACTAAATTCTATACCATTGCGCCACCGTAGACAGTATGTAGAGTATCAGAAAGAAAACCTTGGCCCAGATCAAAATAAGATAAGCGATCTAAGCTGCAGGGTCCTAGATAACCTTTTTTAAATTTATATCGTTCCTGGGTAGATAAATTGGGGCTAATTAATAATTTTAATTCAAGCTCACGCACAGTTTGCTTGTAGTTTTCACTTGAACGTAGTCGAACTGGAGTGTCTTTGAAAGACGTTGGAAATACCCTAATATAATTTATTTTATTACTCTTTATATCACCTCCAGTTTTCTTTGTGTTTCTTGCTAAAATCGAATTAGAAGGTGCTGTTATTCCCTGTGCAAGAAAAAAAGTTGATATGACATAAAATTAGGCTTTCTAAGAAGAATTACTTGAATTTCGCATTTCGAGCATCCAAACTCAGCGTTAGGTTCAGGTATATTCTGAACTAGCGAATTAGCTGGTTTATCGTTGATACAGCCAATTAGAAAACCTTTGTATATGTGCATCTCACCTTGTATTTCGCATACTCCACCTTGTTCTAAAAGTTGTAACTGTTGCACAATCGGTTTCATCATCAAACTCATAATATTTCGTGTTGGTTTCCTGAAACAAGAATTAATACCGCCAATTATAACATTATTCAATAAAAATCTATGTTTAACATCTATTTCATTTATTGTCATAGTAATTAACCACAATGATTTAGATGAATTTGATGCAAGTTGAACACCATCGGCTGAAAACAAAAGAAAGAATTATATTATATGTGAAAATTCTGAATCAACTTACTAGACAAAGATAAAGTAAATAATTTTGTATTATTGTCTAACTTTTCATTATGTATCATATGTTTGTATAAACGACCATCGACAATATTTTTTAACACTCTTGATGACATAATTGTATCCGTACCTGATGTACACATCATATTTTTCTCTCTTTCAATTATCTGCTCCAGTTGCTCTCGAACGTTGAACCATGTATAGACATAAGGTGATCGCAAGTAATTCTCTCCGATGTTACATGATGCATTTGAACATTTACTGTTTGATAATTGAACTGTTTCACATAATTGACATATATAAATTGTTTGGGATGATCTTTCATCTTTTTTCGCTTGATCTACATTTAAATTTAGTAATTTTCGAATATCGTAAATAGATTTCGGAATAATGGAACTATTCGGAACAACTTTATTTAATAACTTAAGAATATCGACAATCAGTTGATTTGTACATTTATGTCGACGTTTTATCAAACATAAAATAACAGAAATATCACGAATGGATAATGTTTTTTCCTCGTATCTAAAGATAGATAATAAAAAAATAAATAAAAATATGTTGCTAATTACATACTTATCGTTTAAATCTGTTTCATTCCCAAAATCATCTTTACCTTCCAAAAAGCTGACATTCATTTCATCATAAGAATAGATTTCGATTTCATTCACATCTTCATCTGAATGTAACTTATCATAAACATCTTCATCCATTTTTAATTCATCATCATCATCTATTATATTAACAAGCTCACAAGTATTTATGGATAATTCTTCATCTAAACCATTCACATCTGCTTGTCTCAATTCGTGATTAAATTGCCTTTGAGTTGTTGATAATGGTTCGGCTAAAGCATTCTCGTGATGTTGTTCTAGTTCATTTGTATGCGCGTATGAATTTTGAATTGAGCTTAATTGTTCGAATGTCGTTTGTGTTAATAATTCTTGCTGGAGCCCCTTCTTCTTAATAAACCTATTTATGAGATAAACGAAAGTTGTTAAATAATGTGAGAATATTCTACTCACATTGGGTCGATTTGCGAAGACAGATAATTATCTCGATAACGAGCGTTTCTTGCTGCTCTCAACTTTTTAGAACGATTTTCACTTCTGTAAATGCCATAAGGATTGTTTATTTTTGATCGCATTTCTTCAATAAAAGATGCAAAATTTATATTTATAGATCTTCTTTAATGTTCCATCTTAGTTTTGAAAAATAGTAATTGATCATACTGTATCATTATATTAGGCAACACTTTAAAGTAATCATAAACAATGTAAACAATTAGAATACAATATAAGTGCATAATTTATACACTTTTAAGAAAAATAAATAGAAATAAACATGTAGAAAAAAAGACTACACTAATAGTTATTAGACAGACAATTAAATTAAAAATGTTTCTTCAAATATCGACAGTTTACAATAAGAGATATTAACATGGAAATAACTAACTTAGTATCTCTCATTCATGAAAGAGAAAAATATTTTACACATATGTACAAAAGAAAACTATAATAATTTATATAAGAAACTAAAGCAGAAAAATAAAGTTAGTCTCCACTGTTTTCATCATTTACATCTTGAATGCTTGGTGTCTTAGCCGATCGTGTTGAATTAAGAGCAGTATAGTCCGTTAAATTTTGCCTCTAGCTTTCCAACTATCTGAACGAACCATAGTTGACAAAGATGTACGTACAATATTATCTGTTGTTGAAAGTGAAGGTCCGAATAGTTTTCGAACAAAATCTAAAGAAAAAAGTAAAAGCCTCAAAAATAAAACAAATGTTGTTTAATATTTACCTATAACGATGTCTATTTTATCTTTATCAATCAATGTCCAAGCATTTTGCATAGCAATTAATTGTTCATAACCAGAAAAACATCGAACTATCGTAGAAAGCAGGCATTTATGTAGCTTTATAATCATGTAGCAATGTTTTCTTACCAATTGAACGAGCTGTTTTTATTCTATCTTTGTCCTGTATACAATTATTGAATGCTTGTTCATCTATATTCAATAAATCAGCATATTGCTTAAAATTCAATTGACTTTGGATTTCTTCTTTATGTACTAATTCATACATATGATCAATCCAGTCAATAACAAGTGGTTCCGTAGGAATAGCTATTACAAAGAAAAATAATAAATTTCCAAAAAACATGAATAAAGGATTAGAACCTACTCATTGATGATTCGTGTAAGTTAGCAATAATTTTATTGCATTCTTCTATTTTGTTTTTCAAATTTTTTATTATTGCATCTTTTGCCTTTAATTTTGCTTGAAAATCGAGAACTATTCGATTTATATTGATTGTACTTGTGTTTGGTTCAGAGCTCGATGAAATCTTCAAACCCACATCTTCAGTCGTTGATAAATTTTGAATCACAGAATTGTTGTCAGATGATAGTGACCTGGCTGTAACATTGTTATTTGAACTTAATATCGATGTATTTGTTTTCGATAGTGATATATCGTCTATTGTCGTGGAAAAAGCTGTTATTGATGAATCAGATAATTCAGATGCGTCTATTGTGGATCTGCACTTTTCCAACTTATCTTGTGGTTTTGATACTTTTCTGACTGTGCTTGCTATTTTTCGAGATGGTACCGTTTTTTTCTTTTCAACATTTAACCGAGATGATGATGAGAAGGTTGATGGTGTTTCAGATGCAACTGATGGTGGTAGTTGTGATGAATCAGGTAAGTTTTGTTTAGAAGCTTGTCGAACAGCAAACCGAGTACCGTGGGTATGTGTTGTAGACATCGATATTGTTGAATCTGAAAACAAAGATTACATGGCAATGGTAAATAAAACGAGTGCAAAATGAACGAATAAGTAGAAATGTACTTAAACAGAAATATATCTGATATCAATATAATCGTTTAATAAGTGAATTCGATCAGTCCGAATACACAAAGAAAAATGATCGACACGTCGATCTCGTACATTCTGGATAAACATGGAAGAATGACCAACACGTCGGTCTCGTACAATGAAAAAAAGATAAAGAAATAATTCATACGCCATTAACTTGAATATATAATTCATCTGACTTCGTGTATGTTAGATATAGATGGCATGCCAGAAAGGCAAAAAAAAAGAGTATATCATCTATAATGACGTAATATCTTCAAGAAGTCATTTAAAATAAGAGAACGATGTTGGAAAATTTTTCCGTCTTTTTACAAAATATGTTAATCGTATAAAAGTCTGATTAAGTGTTGATGATATCAGGTATCTCATAACTGCTAAGGTTTGAATTCTCTCAAATAATATCACTTTTTGATACTATAAGGTCTATTGAGTCATCTTCAAGTAGGATATAGTAAATCGTCCATACAATCATTATTTGATTTTACTCCACAAATTATTGAAACGATTAAACATAGATTGTGATATCATATAATACATATAACAAGTTAGTGGTAAATATTTTACGTGATATACAGTTCGCATTTAGATTTGAATTAAAATTCAACAGTCTAACATCGAATGAAAAATAAATTTTAAACTCCGAAGGACGTTCAGTTACGAAAAATTGTGTACTTATTTCCTATTATTATTTCTGTCACAATTTACATCAGCGATTTGCTGAAAAACATTAACTTCATGAATACAAATTGATTTAGCTGACTCACAAAAACTTTAAAGTGTACTTGAATGTATTGATCTAGGTATGTGCTTCAAAAATTCAGTAATACATCGATTTTCAGTGAGTAAAAGATTTTGTAGAAAGAGATTGTGTAAATTTGAATTGAAATATCTAAATTCGAATTATACAAACTTTTATAAGTTTTTTTTTTTTTATAATTTTGACTTAACAATTTTATCTTCCAATCCGAAATAAAAGAATTCATTTTACTTGTTTTTTACGATTTCTATTTTAATTAGTTTTTAAAATTTTCGTTTGAAATTTTTTTTTTACAATTTCTGTTTGAAATCATTTTTTTACAATTTTAATTAGAAAAAATTTTAAAAGTTAATAGAGTAATACCTCTTTCAATTTTATGATTCTCAGTTTTATTTCAACTCGAATTAGGCATTCACCTCTCCTAGTACAAGTTGTAGTGAATATCCAAGTATAAACAGTAGTTTTTTTAATATAAGTAGAAAATTTAACACTCAAAATATACGTAAGTTTAGCCAAGAGGTAAGTCGACTGCTTTGTATTTTCAAGGGTATGTGATCGAATCTACATTACAGCAACCAACAACATATCAAAACGCGTTCCTGAAAACTTAACCTGGAAGTTGTCGATACAAAAACGGATTGCACAAGAAATGAAACTGAATTTAGATGAAACAGGCTACTTGAGATAAATGATAAAGGGAAGAAGAAACATGTATCTACATTAGATAACATAAAAAGTCAGTTTTTTTTAATTAGCAAAAGAACGCATTTTTACTTTGAAAAACGCGTTCCTCTTGAACCTATTATTCACATGATTTTAACGTTCACAGGAAACGTGTTCATTAAATATTTTTAACGTTCCCTAAAAACGTGTTCTTACATCACTTTTNGAAATATCCATTCACTGAATAGTATACACTAACCTATGTGAATTCAATCAGACTACTGAAAAGATGAAACACACCCATGAAATCATATGCATAAAAATGACGAAACTTAAGTGTACAAAAGAAGATGTATAAGTCAAAAGAATTGATAATGAACAGAAGGATAAAATATTATACAAATAATGCAATGTCTTAATCGTTCATAAATGATCTTACTACAGTCGATCAATAGTTATTCTGAAAGTCTGTAATAATTTCTTAATTTAGTTATTAGAAATGTTCATTAACCAGTTTCAGATTTATGATAAGATTTTTAAAGATGATCTCTGTTCTTCTAAAAGAAATCGAGTTATAGTAGAGGTCATCTGTCTGAATAATATGTTCTATCATATTCGAAATAAATTGAACTCAATCCCAATCTTCTTGGATTGATCATATTGTTCGATGTTTAGATTTCGATGAAATAAAACAGAAAATTTCAAGAAAAACAAATGTAAAGCATTCGACAAATCTGACATAAATGAAATTTATCTACTTTTCTAATATATTATAAAAACTCTAGTTATTAAACGTATTTGAATCTATTTGAAAAGAAGATAGTGATGTTTATTGATGAGAATTATATTTAAGTTCCAATAACTATACTCATTAAGAACATCTTTAACACACAAACTTCTATTATAGTCTTACCTTATTGATAGTACAGTATTTTTTCAAGAGTATTTTAAACGACCTTTGCTTTCGAAAGAATAAAATGTTTAAACAAAGAACAGAACGAGAATATATAACATCAGTTTTATCATAAGTTTAAAACTACGTTAAAAAGGGCTTAAATAAGAAAAAAAGGCTGCTGAAATGACGAGAATGAATCGAGCAGAAAAGAGAAAAGTAAACTGAATCGCAGAACAGAAAAAAAAAAGATCCGCAACAAGATTAAAGAAAGAAGATAGGTAATAATATAGAGTATAGGTGTAATTTAATTGAATTAAGAATCACTAGAAGGAAGAGTTGTTTCATCATCTTTGACATTATTCCGTATATCGATTTTAGATGTAGTTTTTTCCATAGATTCATAGGCTATTTTGATTTGACTATTCAAAAAAAAGTAAGAATATAATTAATCTTTCAAAAGGTTTTAGATTGTAAGTAATATTAATTAATAACAGTATCTTGTTATTTACTAAAAGTAATGATTAAAATTTATTTTTCGTGAAACTTTGTATGTTTACAATAGAACATATTTTAATTGAGTTACTTTTCATCAATAACTCATACATAAAAAACTTGATGAATACAGGTAATGTCTTTCAAACATTCATGATTATTTTTCAAACTTCTAGTTGGTTACAAATCTTTCTATAAGATTTTACATACGTAGAAAAACAGTCATGGATAATACAATATAGAAAGTGAATGTGCTATTCATAGAAGAAGAAATAAAGATACTGAGACTGTCAAATGAATTATTTATACGCATACATTAGCCCGGTTACCCTTTTACGAAGCTTATCTATTTTTCACTCCTTAATTTCCTTTACTTATCTAGAGACAGTCGTTTTTTTAATTAAATTTTTGATAATTTTATCTTAATAGAAGACGGTATCGTAATAAGTATGGATTTTTCTCTGACTCTGGATCAAAGAACTAATGGAAAAACGAATATGGATAGGATTACAAATTAAAAAACTACCAGAAGTATACCATCGACACAAATGAATAATATTGTTTTGACCTTGTTAGTGAATATGAATTCGGTCACTATTCCTACCTTTCCTAATTGAGATGATTATAGTCATTTAAATTTTTCTAAGTTTTCGATATAGATATGAACATTCGGCATGTAGACTTTTCAATATTGACGATACCTTTTAAAATTTATTAAAAATATTAAATCGAATAGCGGAACATCGTAAAGATCATTGAACAAAATTAAAATATTGAAAGGATTATTAGTCTAAAATCTCAGTAGAGCGAACAAGGAATTAAAAATGAAGTATACAACTTGCAAAGATGAATACGAATGTGATTGCTGTTTAATGGAGAAAATATATATGTGAATTTTAATTATGCTATGATGACTGTATGAATACGAAATACCATGTTTAAATTTAATGTTTTAATAATATTTCAATGTGTTTAATAAAACGCGCATTTGCAGATAGTAAATTTTATATGTCAGTTTAGTGACAGATTTCGACCGTGTGAAAGAAAAACAGCAGTAACATTTGTTAGCAAAATATACCTAGTCGTCGATTAAATTTATTCAAGCACTAGGAAACTACTTCGTGAATGCTAATAATATTAATAATGGATGACTAAAATTTCCTTAGAGAAAATTTATTGAAATTCAAAATATGTATGAGTCGCGTATAGTGTTATTTATTTTGATACTGATTACATACTTTATGACACACTCTATATATACTGATAATTTGAGTTAGTTTTTTTCGATCAACCCATAAATGTGTCTTTTTTTGTGATAAAACAAATGGAATAGCTAGCACAAACAAAGAAACATAATAAAAAAAACTTCTATACAGGAAGGTCTTAAGATATTAAATAGTTCATTAAACCCACAAATCAACAAACAGTTTTTTGACAATGTCGGAATTTCCATTTCTTCTGCTCAACAAATATTTATTATAAAAAATAACTTACAAAAAGTGCATATGCTTTACATCAGCGACGATAATAAATGTATATATTATTGCAAATCCATGTCGATATTGTTGACGTTGTTTTCATATGTGTTGAATTCGTTTTCCTGTATGTTTTAGCAAATTGTGATGTTACTAATATTTAACATCTATTTTCTTCGTGTTGTTATCAAAGACGGATTGTGCGACGCCAACATTTTCTTTCGCTTATATTGCCATAATTCGTAGGTGTATACTACAAATGCTACAAGTGTTTCCATTTAAATGACTTTGATGATGAATCTCTTTTTCCTCTAACCTTAAGTAACAGAGCACACAAATTCGCAAACTGTTTATTTTTATGATTACCAAAATGACTGTACTTTCCTGCATTTTAATTGGTGGATATATTCATGATTTTCCTTTCAACAGTAAAAATGATAGTAGTTTTATATTAATGCATTATATATTGAATTCGAAATATTATACTTATTTATTCTCACATACTTAGAATTTTATGAACTTTTATTCTTATTAATAAAATATTTCTTTTCTCTAACTAAATTATATTAATTCCCATACTTCTTTCAATCTAAGTTGCAGTCAGTATAATAGGATAACAAAGAACTACATTGTTTGTTGTTTAGAACATAGCAACGATTTGAAAAAGCTTAAGGAATTTATTGGAAATTTTCAATTCTGAACGACCATCATCACCTACACGAGACTAGGGTGTGGGTGTGTGGGTGTGAGTGTGGGTGTGGGTGTGGATGTGGGTGTGCGTCTGCGTGTGGGTGTGGGTGTGCGCCTGCGTGTGGGTGTAGATTTTGGTGTTAATTTCATACCCACACCCACACCTCACACCCACACCCACATCCACATCCCAAACCCACACCCACACCCTCGGATTGAATGACAATATCCCAAGGGAGAAACAGCGGAGACTTCAGTCGTGAAGTCCCATGAAGTCTTGAAAGTCTTTCGAAGTCTTCTGAAGTCGCTCGAAGTCTCGTGGAGTCTTATGAATTCCCATAAAGTCTCTTGAAGTCACTAAAGTCTCATAAAGTCTGATGAAGTCTGATGAAATCTGATGAAGTTCTATGAAGTCTTTTGGAGTCTTGTGACCTTATAAAGACACTGCGACTGAAGTCTTTTGAAGTCTTGTGAAGTCCGATGTAGTTTTGTAAAGTCTAATGAAGTCTTATGAATTCTCATGAAGTCTCAAGAAGTCTGTGAAGTCTCATGAAGTCTTTTGAAATCTAATGAAGTCTTCAGAAGTCTCTTGAAGTCTTTTCAAGTCTTGTGAAGTCTTTTCAAGTCCTATGAAATCTTTTGAAGTCTTTTGAAGTCTTGTGAAAATATGAAGTCACTGCGGCTGAAGTCCGTTGAAGTCTCTTGAAGTCTTTTGAAGTCTTGAAGTCTTGAAGTCCGCTGTTTCCTCCTTGCAATATCCCATACATATACTCTATTTCTCTCGATTTTCTCTCAGTCACATTGTGATTACCTTCTGTGTATTGTTCATTTTTGATCTGATCAGTTCAGAAATTAGTTATGTTCGTACCCACATCCACACTAATTACCTGTTCATGTCTAACAAAGTCCGCTCTTCTCTTTATCCCCATACTTGTTTCCCGTTGCTTTGCGTACACAATTTTGTCGAGATTTTTTCCCCAGAACTTTGAAGCAATATCTTTTGTTCAGAAAATTGATGAACGACCCCAAAATAGCTCTGTTCGGGTCTCAATATTTCATCTCAAGCCGAAACGAAGAACCTGTTCGATGGAACTTTTCAACTCTATCGGTTAGTGTATCACGCTCAATGTTTTTCAGTTTCAGAGTGACAATCACAAACAATGAAAAGCTAGCCTAGCGATTTCTTGCAATTAAAAGTAGATGTGCGGATTTTTGACTAAGAAAAGAACCGATGAAGGATATTTTTACGAGCACTGCAGCAAAAGAGAAAGATTATTTGTTTGCTAACATATAAGTCAGTGTGAATTGTGCCTTATGTTAAATCAGTGACGAGGAGAATAAAAAAACATGCATATATTTTATTGTGTCTTCTTAATTGCGGACGAAAATAAAACCAATTATTAGGCTAACAGTGTGGGAGAGGACTGAAATTTTGTCCGCAATTTGAATGTGGCCTATTTTATTTCACCGTATATCTCACGCGCTCGCTTGCAAAAGTGCCAAAAGATAAAAAACGGAGTCGAAGGCGTCCGCTAAGATATGATTGATGTGTGTTTTTTCAGCTGTCATTGCAACGTATGTACACGATCATGATGCGTTGTAAAAACAGACACAAAATCCGAAGTTTTCTTCTTCAAAAGTTTGAATTTTCTAAATAAATTTCTCGATAGAGATTCTCGGAGGCTATGGTGTCAACGCGTAAACTCATACTTTTTTATATTGTAGCAGATAAATAGAAATCGTATATCCCTGACACCTTTTTTCATGTTCTTTTTCCTTCACCATTCATTTTTTCTTCTTGTCGAACTATTTTGAAAACATTTTGGAATTTTTTGTCTTTCTATCTCGCGCAAGTGGTAGGATTTTGTTCGACCTACCCAACAATTTGTGTGCACAACTAAATAGTGAGAAAATTAAACCTAGGTGGTTCACAATAAATCTCTCAATACGTGATATTTATGATTTCAGAAGCATATAAATCGACCCCATGGCTCGTCGGCTACAAGGAGTATTTAGTATGGAATCAGTTTTGGTTATGGCTATTTTGTTGACTTGTTTTTCAATGGTATTCGGGCAGAATATGCCGTTCATTCAGGATGGACGCTACAATGCTCAGACAAAAGCAATTGAAATAAATATTAACTATGGTGGCGGCTGCGCTGAACACAAATTTCAATTAAAGATTGGTTCATGTCTTGATGATTTCTATCCTGTTCAATGTGATGCCAAGCTAATTGATCTTACAACAAATGATTTTTGCGAAGCGTTCATTCATCGCAAGGTCTCAATTAGTCTCCGTGAATCTGGCTTGGACAATGGTTATTACACAGGCGCTTCTATCCAAATCCAGGGTGCCGGTGGTTCTAAAGCCACTATTTATCTTCCATGATAATGCTCATCTCAAATATCACCTTTAGACGGAGTGTGCTACTTTTCTATATTTTCTTTTCCTTTGAAACTTTTTGTGATAACAGTAAGGATGTGGGTGCAATACTAGAAAACAAATTTATTCGTCTTGAAGAAATAAGCTAAATTCTCTGATCTCCTCAATTGTTTCCCAGCAGTCGATGTCAAAGAATCTGAATTCAAAGAAATGTTCTTTGTAATAAGAATAAAAATGCAGAGTTTAATGGTCAATGAGTTTAATTCTCTATTTCTCACTTATCATGAGTAAATCTGGACAGCCTACTAAATCGCTGTCTCCAATGATAGGACTTCATATCGATCGATGGAGTCTCGAAGGAGTAGTATTTTTTCTAATGCCCTACGCGAGCGAGCTACCACAGTGCATGTATTGGTCTCAAGTAATGGTTCAAGTACTTGTGTTACAGTAGTATCGAAGAACTTGACGGGGCTTTCTAGCGTGAGGGAAACCATCCTCGATCAACGTTCAAGAAGATTGATATGCACAGATGAAAACCGTTCTAGGGTCAATTTTTCATTCTAAACACGAATTTCAAATGGAAATGAGCAAAAATGCAAGCTTAGCATTTTCGGACTAGAAGAGTTTTTTAGAGGGTGTGAGTGTGTGGGTGTGGGTGTGGGTATGAGTGGGTGGGTGTGGACGGGTGGACCTGCGTGTACATCAAGACAGGGCCTATACCCACATACACATCCACACCCACACCCACACCCATTTTCTTTGTTTGTCTTCTTATGTTTTCGGTTTCACTAGAAGAATACAATCGTGTCGTTATATTATTTTATCAGCATGCCAATACTGCAACCAGTTGAATGTGCGATGTATTCAGAGATCATATTTTTAAAAAAGCACTCGATACTTTCTCTTAGATTCAGGTTGAATAGGTTTTTTTATTTATTTCTTAGCATTACTTATCAATTGAAATAAAGTTAAAAGAGAAGACATGACGGCTTCCAACATACAACAAATATTTTTGTTTTGTTAGATAATTTAAATTAAATTCTTTCTCAATCAAATGAGATACAATACCGAAAAACCATTTGCTAAACGTCTGTAACACTTGGAAATAAATTTGAGTGAAGAGACCTATGAATAATTCATTTACTTTGAATGAGAAAAATCTATTTTTTTGATGGAAATAAGTTGTTAAATAAAATTATTTAGTTTCAATCAAATGTACGAAAAATGAGAAGATTTTATAGATCCAGTTGAATATTGATCGAACAATGCTGACCGACATATTCAATGACACATGAATGATTACAAATAATTGGTGGATTTATTAGATGTTTCTGGGCGAAGATGTAACATACCAATCGACATATATAAATATGATTGATATAGCCAATTAACACTTGATTAGCCTGCAGATCAGTATTAGTTGAGTAGTGATCCATCATTGCACACTAAATGGTTACTAATTCGAATCAATATTTTGTTTTATAAACTTTAATGACATTTTCTTGATTCACCTGAATAACATCAAAAACAAAAATAAGGTATATATCGAAAGATAGAAATGTGAGAAATGGAAGTAGAGATTGTCAGAATCCTTACTCTCGCACCTTCGCCTTCACAACGATAGAGAACACATCGCAAGTGTATCATTTCAGCGTTGATATAACCTATATGTCAGATAAAAGTCCTGCCATATTAATGTAACTTTTATTATTAAACTATTTTCTTTACATAGATCTTTTTAGTTTTTCTTCAAGAATAAAGAAAAATGATGAACTAATAAATCACATAAATGAGAGTCAGAATGAGTAGCTAGTCCCACGCATAAAACAATTCTATTTGTATCACAACTTCTTCATTGAATAAAGGAATCAAAGAGTTCACTCTAATTATAAAAATGCGACTAAAAGTGAAACTGTTACAAACTAAAAAAATTTTTTTTTACAAGAGAAAAGAAAATGAGTCCCATTGGATGCAATGGGAATAATCGCACCTGATCGAAGCCTTTTAGCACAAACAACACGTGTCCGTGTCATGGCCATTCGTTCTGTTTGTCTTCCAGGTAAACTATTATTCATAATATAATCATCGGTGTCTTTCTCGTCTTCCTATCAATAAACGACTATACGTGCTACTCTCTACAAATCATATCAAAGTGTATACATGCGTAGTAATGTTTTTGATGCGTAACTATGAAAAGATATATATTGATCATTTATTTAAAAAAGCACAAGCAGACGTTTTGATAGTGATAGAGAATATAATAATTACTCAGTAAGTTCTCGTTGGTGTTATTAGAAACCTAATCTTATCAAAATATGTTCAATAAATTAAGTAGAAATTGTAAGCTCGCTAAAATGCAACTTATTCTAGTATGTTTGCTCTCAATTCATTATTGGATTTACACATAGATTTATGTACATTTGATGGATTCTGACGGAAATTCTCATTCATCATCGATTATGAAAAATATAGGATCGGGTATTCAAGTACCAACGTCGCCAACGATAATTCTCATGCCTTCGGACACAATTTCATCTAGGTCTTCGATTCAGCCATCAAAGAAGAAAAGTCTGGCAGGGAATCAAACTGAATTACCCTATGTTTCTCATCGAAAGCAAGCACCAATTAAAGAAATTCCAATAAGTTTTCTTAGACATCGACTATGCGTAAGAGAACAATATTATGCTCGACTGTAAGTTACAGCTCTTTTCATTTTATTTTCAATTTTTTGTTTTATTTCAGTGCCTTAGTCAGTAATCTGATGAGTTTTCTTGCTATTGTGGGTATTATTTTAATGATCATTGAAAATGAATTAACTTTTGCTCGTGTTAATAATGAAGATACAAGAATTAGCTGGTTTCTTAAATTAACGATTACACTTACCACGGTGATTCTTCTTGCACTCATTTTTTATTACCATCATTTAGATATGAATCTTTATTCTTTTCGAAACGCACTTGAAGATTGGCGTGTTGAATTAACAAATAGCAAAATATTGCTAATTATACTTGAAATATCAATTTGCGCAATTCATCCTATGCCTCGATCATATCCTCAAACAGATCCTGAAAAAATAAATTCAACTTCAATAGAATCTGATTCATCTCCACCAAATTCCTATTCTTTATCGTATACAGCTGTCGACGTTGGGCTTGGTTTGCCAAGTAAGTATTCTCTTTATTTTTTTCAAAATTAAAAATTTTTACATATAGTGTTTCTTCGTCTATATCTACTTGGCCGTTCCATTATGTTACATTCGCATGTGATTCGCGATATATCATTACGATCACTTGGATATTTGAATCAAGTATCCGTTGATTTTTTCTTTCTTATAAAAACTTTTCTTGAACAATGGCCAGCACGATGTTTAATTACCTTTTGTACTGTTGCTTTTTTCATTGGAAGTTGGTCTTTGCGTGCATGTGACTATACAACTACGAAAAAACACCTATCTATGCCGGAGTCCATGTGGCTCTTCATTGTGACATTTACTACTATTGGTGAGTTTGTATGAAGAGATTTTAGATAGAAATGTAAATCCTGATAAATTTTGTAGGTTATGGAGATCTATATCCATCGACATACTGTGGACGAGGTAAGTGAAATTTGATTGACGATAAAATTCTTTGATCGTTTTATGTAAATTTTTCAAATTGAGTTTCTGTGATGTTTGTTAGGTATTGCTACAATAGTTGGCTTGATTGGTCTTTTATCATCCGCTATTCTTATTGCTCTTCTTACAAAAAAACTTCTCCTAACTCGAGAAGAAAAATATGTACATACATTTGTATTAAACACTCGATTAGAGAAAAAGCGTAAAAATCAAGCAGCAAATGTTATTAAATTTGCCATTAAAGTCTGGTATTTAAAACGTCAAAATAAGTCTACATCCATTGAATATCTTTTGACTCAACGAAAAGTATTTCGATCGATACATCATATTCAAAAAATCAGACAGAATCAACGAAATTTAATTGACACCTGTGTAGGTCTCACTGATTTAATGACTATACATCGTGATACAAGTGTTCAAACTAGAGAAACAGTAGGGCAAATAGTGGCCATTAAAACTGATATAAAGAAAATCGAAGAAGAATTAAAGAATATTAATTACTGTATGAATACTTTACAGAATACACTCAATGTTTTATTGGATAGAGCCACGAAATAACATACTAATACTGCTGTATTATTCTTTGAACAAATATAATAAATATTCGTTTTTGTTTTATAATGGAGAAGCAATTTATTAAAAAAAAACACGTTTAAAGAAGTAGAACTGCATAGTATAATCAGCCATGTGTCTTATGTATTTTTGTTGCGATGTAGTCGAAGGCATCAATCTCAGTTTTCCGACCAAAGAACAAATTTTTAATCGATGAATTCATTGGTGAAGTTCTTATGGTTTTTTTTGTATGTATGTACATGAGCGTCCTGTCGATTTGCTACTACCTCTCTTTTGCCGTGCATTTCTTTATTACAAACATGTCATTTTAAAGTTCTTTTGGCGATCACAGTGCTGACATCATTCAGGGTTTCTGCTTGCTTTTGGGAGTGGGGAGGGAGAGAAGGTGGTCTAAAAATTTGGCAGAAAGACTATAATTTTTTCGCAGAAAGTCGACTTTTTCGCAAAAAAGCTTAAGCCTACTAAAAATCAGAAGTTCTCCGTCAGCGATAGAGACTAATAATAATAACTTATTCGATACAAAAGTTTTTTCATGTAAAATTATTTTGAAGCAAAAAAACATAGATATTTTAATACTTAGTCTTCTTCACTGTTTTCTGGTTGCGCTTCATCGTCATCTTCCGTGAATATTTTGACATTCCTGGTTTTTGCTCGACCTGGATGACTGATGAAATCATGAATGATATATTTGATGGCTTCTTCTGTCAAAGTTGATGCCAAAGTTGCCACTTTTATAGATATTTCAGCTGTTGAGCTCCTTATACGAGTATTTTACCACGATTTAATTCTTCTAAGTGCGGAAAATGAACGTTCAGCTTCATTTGATCCAAGAGCAAACGTAGCTAACACTTGATACAATCAATCTATACCATTCTGGTGCTTGTTCTTGCTCATCTTTGGCTAAATGTGTTCATACTGATGTAATTGTGGTCTTATCTTTTGTTAATGTTACAAATGAATGAACATCTGTTTTGTAACTTGTAGAAGTCTAGCAATGGTGAATCTATTCTTGTATATATTTTATTATCGACACCAATGTGTTTGTATGTGATCTCATTTGTATATTTCTGTATCATTTCATTGTGTAATAATATTCATCAGCAGTCATCTTTTTGATGATGTTGATGGAATGGAGAGATTTTTAATCAATTCTTTAGCTTCACGGTCAAATTTCGTGTTTAATGATTGTAAAACACTTGCCACTATTTGCTGTACATTTTCGCATAACTCATCTTCACCAAAATCTCGTTAAATGAGTACTACTTGTGCTGGTGCTCGAGATCTTGTCGAGTGAGTTGTAGAAGGTATTGTTAGCATATATTGTTGTATATTTTTCATTAACGTTCTTAATGAAATGAAATCAAGCTCGTCCACCGTTGGACTGATTGAAGCTATGGCTGCGTCTGCGTGTATTGTAAAATTGTCCATGCACGAAGCTCTTGTTTCTACTTGTTGAAGAAACTTCATGGCCGATTGTAAAATATTTTGTAATAGAATTATTTCAAAAGCCATGCGATATTGTAACAAATCAATAGCATATCTTTTTCTATCAGACGCTCCATCTATTTTCAATTGAGAAAGGGTGGTCAGAGTTTGAACAATCGGTAAATAATATTTAACACCAAATCGAACTATTTCATAGTTATAAGTTCATCGCGTTTTACTTGGTTTGGGTATTGTATGCCCGGTCAATGAAGAAAAAAACTACTAATTGTTTGTTTCTTTGCGAAACTCTGGAGATTTATACCTCTTTTGCCAGTTCCATTAACTTTTTGACTATTCAATCATATGTTTTCAGTCTCTATGGACTGTCTCGGATGAATCATAAAGGGTTGCTCGAATATTACATTCACAATATTCCACCGCATCATCATTCTGTTACTCTCTTTTGTGGAACTCACCAATATTTTCGAAGAAAATAGTGAGTGTAAGTTGTAGAACGAGGTTTTGCGGCTCCCCCCCCCCTAGGCCCCCACCATTACAGACCATAGCAACGCAGGCACCCATTACAGACCTTAGCAACGGAAGCCCCCATTACAGACCCCCTCCCCATTACAGACCTTAGCAATCGAGAATAAAAGGTGTTAAATTTTCTCGAACTTTTTTTGGAAAAATGATCAAGTCATAATTTTGAAAAATAATGAGTATCATTATTTGTGAGTTGATTAATATATATGATAGTGTGTAAGATCTGCTGTAGATATCACACATATGTAAAACACACTTATTCGTCGATCAATTCAATGATAATAATAATAATAATAAATTTAGAAAAACGAATTTAAAAAAATAAAAAATAATGAGCGGTTAGCAACAATGAAAACAAAAAATAGGGCGCCCATAGAAAAAAAATTTGAAAAAAATTTGTTCGAAATGCAGAAATTGGAGAAGTTTTTACTTCAATGGTTAATTATCCTACAAAACAAAAATAGTTTACGAGAAATTTTTCATTTTACGTTTTTTGTATTACTATAATGAGGCCAGAGAGCATATGTGAGTTCCACATTTCAGCCCCAAAGGGGCTGCGCTAACAAGCTTTCCTCTATGTGACGACGTAACAACCAAACAAATCTTAAACTAGCTTTCAATGTATCGAAAGAATCATAGCAATTATTCTCGATTGCTTCCTTGACTGCCAAATTCAACAAATGACTATGACAATACACATAGGTTGTCCAGGCGGATAAGCGTGCTTGAACATGACCGGTCGTCTGAAATCTCATCGATGATACACCGTCATATGTTTGATCAGTGATAATAAACCGTTTGTGAGCATCCTTTTCTAGTTGATCAACAAATGATTCAATTATGCGAAAAAAACCTATAAGAAAAGAAAAATTTGCCTTTTTTCGTCTCCACATTGATGCATTCTCGTATTTTGCCTTCATCAGTAGTATCAAATATTGGCTCCATTCTAAATATTTGCTCTTTTTTGTAATGAAGCACTGTTCTCCTATTCTTTTAAAATAATTAATAATAGAATTTCATATATGGTATTGCCTACGTTGTAACATGATCATTTCAACTTTAATTATGCTTTAGGTCCCAAATTACTAAGAATTATCTCGAAACTCATCCAAAGTGAAGAAATCCACAAGTAAAATCGATCTGTTTTCTCATTTGGAGTTCTATGAGGAAAAAACGGAACATACTACAAAAATCAGCTCGTCGAACTCTACAAACTGGTATTTCTCTTATTCAAAACTGATACTCATACTTAAAGACCTTCCCTCGTCAGATATAAGCCAAGAGATCAGCAACTAACTTTTATTGTCATCATAATTTTACTTATGTTGAAGCTTCGAAAAAAGAATGAGGTCCGTAAAGATTTAATTTTTGTGTAGTGGATCTTGTCAGTAAATTGAATGTGTAATTGAAGATTTGATCATGTAATTTTATCCTCGCGCTTGAAATAGTATTTTCTCAGCTTTTGTTCTAGAGATCAAATACGAATTTTCGATGCGAAAATCGAGAAAAAAAGAGGAAAGAAAACTCGCTAATCACTAGATAAATGTTCGCTTTGCATCATATTAAATAACTTGAGACAATTTATTGATAAGATGATCGATCAAATCTAGCTAAATGGTCGACACAAACAAACTTCTTTTACAAGTAGAAAATGCAGAAATTAGAATAAATGTAATCTGATACACATATAACATTCGATTTAGCTCTATACCAACCTTTTACTATAGTTTTTCTTCAACTTAGCATTTTTCTCGTAAAATGAAATCTATGGTACCGTACTGCAAAAGAATATATTTCTAGATTGTATTCAAATTATAGCACCCCTTTACTTTAATCACCTATGCGCTATCGTTGAAATGAAGGGGAACTCCAATAGCTATAATAAATGATTTGAATAAATATCTAGATAAATATATTTCGTTAAAGTTTGATACTAATCATTTTGTTGTCTATTTTCAACTACTGTGTCAACTTATTCGGTCTAGTCTGATACACCATTATCTTTATTTCAGTCTCACACAAAAAAGATGTGTATATCTATTCCTATGCCTTATATTCAAAGAGAAGAAATACCATACACAGACGAGAAAGAATGATGATAACGTATTACAATGAAGTCATAGAATAGCAGAGAGAACGTGTTTGTCAGGAGATATTCTCTACGATATTATTTAATCTTTTGTACTTTGATCTAAATAAAACTATATTATCCATATAGATTCAGAATTTTTTCAGTGAACTATTTGCAGTATAGCGGCAACAGAGGCTTTTTTTTTATAAATATGGCGTTATACTTGGATGTATTTTCGAAAAATCCATATCTCAAAGATAATCTGGGCAAAAGTCGTGACACTATTTCC